TTAGCAAAGCAATTCCTCAGTGAGTTTTTGCCATGTGGATAAAATATAGATCTATGTTTTTTTAATAGTACCTGTTTGGAAATCATTAAAAACAGTGAAACCAAGGACATTTCTTGTCATCAATCTTAATCTTGGAAAAACTCCAAGCCACCTGGTAAATGTTCACAGAAAACCCAACACTACTGAAAAGTCACAGTGATCGGCTGCTTTGTAATACATATATATAACAAAACTAATGTATAAAAAAACTTATTTCTGCATAAAGTAAGTCAGATGATAAACAAATCAGAAGAGAAAAACTAAGAAACATTGGACTCAATTCCTTCTGAATTACTAATTCAAAAAGCACAACCCAATAGGAATTGAATATAAAAACATATAAGTAAAATGTTATCAGACTTTATAAAAGAGTGCCCATCAACACATGATTAAAGAAGATATCTATACACAGTGAAAAACTATTTCACTGCAAGAGATGACATTTTGTCATTTGCAGCAAAACAGAAGAAACTCAAGTGGAGAGGGCAAAGTACATCCAGTCAGGAGAAAGACAAACATAAGGTGATTCCACCTATGCACACAACAAAAGGAAATGAAGCAGATGAATGGGCGAAATGATAGAAAAATAAAAGCAGTGGGCACGAACGACAAAAATAAAGTTACCAGAAAGGAAGAAAACTGTGGTGTGGGAAGCAGGGTGGAGTGAGTTTAATGGATAGTGTGGTAATATTTTTTATTTTGACAAGCAAAATTTTAATTGAGTCTAGCCAAAAACAATTTTCTTCACCCAAAATTAAAAAGAAAAAATAATTTTAAAAGTTACTTTAACTCAGTATATCTAAATAACCCTTTAACAAACAAATAATCAAAAATTTTAACTAGTCAAAAGATTTATAGGTTTTTAGTAGGCTTTTAAAATAATCTAATGTTTATTTAAACTTGTCATACTTCTTGATTTGGACCAGCCATATACAAGTGTTAAAATTAGTCATATCTGGGTACCATACTGGACAGTATATTGAGCAAACCCCCTCAAAACATGTTCTTCTCACAGGACAGAGATTGGCCCTTGAAATATACACACATTCGCTGTACGCACTCTCTAAACTGGTCACCTTGCATTCTTCAAATAATAGCTAGCTACAGCTTCTTTTTTTTTTTAATTGAATCACCATGAGCTATTGTAGCAATGTAGCTTGTAGCACTGTCCTCCTGTTGTTCATCGATTTGCTCAAGTGGGCACCAGTAACATCTCCATTGTGAGACTTGTTACTGTTTTTTGGCATACTGAATACACCACGGGGAGCTTGCCAGGCTCTGCCATGAGGACGGGAATACTCTCAGTAGCTTGCCAGGCTCTTTGAGAGGGATGGAGGAATCAAACCTGGGTTGGCGGTGTGCAAGGCAAACGCCCTACCTGCTGTGCTATTGCTCCAGCCCACGATGAGCTACAGTTATAAAATTTTCATGTTTGAGTTTCAGTCATACAATGATCGAACACCCCTCCCTCCACCAGTGCACATTTTCCAACACCGATTTCCCCAGTATCCTTCCTCCCTCCCACTCCTCCCCCGCCTCTATGGCAGACAGTTGTCCCCTTACTTTCTCTACTCATGGGTATTATACTTTGCAATACAGATTACAGAGAATGAAAGGCCATCATGTTTGGTCCTTTATCTACTTTCAGCACATAACTCCATCCCAAGCAATCCCTCCAATTATCATTGATTTAGCGATCCTTTCTCTATCCCAGCTGCCTTCTCCCCCAGCTCATCAGGCGGGCTTCCAACCATGGAGCAATCTTCCTGGCCCTTGACTCTACTGCCCTTGGGTGTTAGTCTCATATTATGATATTTTATATTCCGCAAATGAGTGCAGTCATTCTATGTCTGTCCCTCTCTTTCTGACTCATTTCCTTTAGCATGATACTCTCCATGGCCATCTACTTACAGGCAAATTTCATGACTTCATCTTTCCTAACAGCTGCATAGTATTCCATTGTGCAGATGTACCAAAGTTTCTTTCATCAGTTGTCTGTTCTTGGGCACTTGGGTTGTTTCTAGATTCTTAGCCACAGCTTCTGTGAATGTATTAGTTGTTCCTTTGACTAGACCGTATTAATTCAACTCTAATCTCCATGGTACTGTTATCCAAAATTTTACAAAAATCAGTTTATTACTCTCTTCTTAATTAAAAAAAAAGATTCATGGGAGGACAGTGACAGTGATTTTAAGGAATTAATTTTACTATAAAAAGTATAATCTGTGACCTCATAAATATGGTACTCCAAATACACTTATTAAAAGAACTGGTATGCATAAAAATTTAAAAAAATAAAAATAAAATGATAAGCAGAAAGAAAAAGAAAAAAAGAACTGGTATGTATTAAAACAAATATTCAACACTTTAAAAAATGTTTGGTATAAACCAGAGAGACAGTACAATAGGTAGAGTATTTGCTTTGCATGCAGGCGGCCCAAGTTCAATCCCCAACATCGCATATGATCCTCTGAGTACCACCAGAAGGGATCTCTGAGCACAGAACCAGGAGTAAGCCCTCAGCAATGCCAGACATGCCCCCAAATAAACAAATAAATAAATAAATAAATTCAGATGCTCTACTTAAAAACAACAGAAAATGAAGTTAACTTTTGTTCTCATTCACAAATCTGTTCTGATATAATATTTTCAAAACTTTTTATTTGGTACAAACAATTTCAGATATATGATTGAGTCATTGTCATGACTCACACTATCATGTAAGCAGCACCAAAGAAATATTCTAACACTGATAAGTTTGAAGGTGACGCACCATCTCCATTGAGAGATACTTCTATTTGGGCATCACCATGAACCAGAGCTACAGAGCACCTGCTCTTTTTGTATCTAGCAGTCCAAGTCCAACAATCTTGTTCCAATGACAGAGATGGCTCAGTCTCAGGGAAACCCTATTAAAAATTAGCACTGGGGTCTGGGAGATAGCACCAAAAGCTAGAGTTTGTGCTTTACATGTAGAAGGGTGGAGTTTGAGATCTAGCATCACATTCCCTGACTCTTTACCAAGAACAAACCCTGAGAAAAGCTGGGAGTAGTCCCTGAGTACCAGGTGTGGCCCCAAAACTAAGATCTAAACATAACATTAGTAATGGTAACTTCTGAGGTTTACTAAACTTCATCCAAATACTTCTCTATATTAATAACATTATAGATAGCTAACATTGTGCATATAATGTGGTAATTATTTCATGATCGATTATGAGATATATTTCACTCATACTTATTACAAGAACCCTGAGCAAAGAAATTGATTTTTCCTACTTTTCCTCATCCTGGAGATGAGGAAACAAGGTACAGAGCACTGAGTAGCAGTTAGCTATCCCCATCACAGAGCTAGAAAGTGGTGAAGCTACAATTCAAAGCCAACAATTCTGACCCTGGAAACTATGCTGTTGTCATCCTGTGGATTACAAATGGAATAAAGAGACTGGAGTTGGTAAAGACACATTTTATATAGTCACAATGACAAATCCCTCAGAGACAAATTCATCACCCCGGGATGATGAATTTTGGTCTATAGTCTACTTTCAGCATAGCAAACTGGGGCAAGTAGTACAGAGAGAAATGATAGGCAAGCACAGTCATTTCCAAACCCTAAGATGTCTTCTCCAAATTACACTGGAGTATTCATTTTTCTTTTTAAAAAATTTAAAATTTGACTATAGACCAAACATGATTGCCACTCAATGCCTTTTTTGCAAACCACCACACCCAAAAGGAGAGAGAGAACAGAGGGGAATGCCCTGCCACCGAGGTAGGGTAGGATGGGGGGGGATGGGGGGTGGGAGGGATACTGGGATCCATGGTGGTGGGAAATGGGCACTGGTGGAGGGATGGGTATTTGATCATTGTATAATTGAAACCCAAGCACAAAATTGTACCTCTGTACATACAACTGTACCTTATGGTGTCTCACTAATAAAAATTTTAAAAAATAAAATAAAATTTTAATGAATCACCATGAAGTACAATTACAGACTAACAAACCCTTGTGATCACATTTCAGTCATAAAATGATCGAATACCCATCCCTCCACCAGTCCCCATTTTTCATCACCAATATTGGTTCCCAGTATCCCTCCTGCCACCCCCACTCCATCCCCTTGCACCTGCCTCTGTGGCAGGCACATTCTCTCTCTCTCTCTCTCTCTCTCTCTCTCTCTCTGTCTCTCTCTGTCTCTCTCTCTCTCTCTTTTTGGGTGTTATGGTTTTCAGCACGGGTAGTAAGTGGCGATCATGTTTGGTCTATAGTCTACTTTCAGCATGCATCTCCCATCCCGAGAGAGCCCTCCAAGCATCATTCACTCAGTGAGCCCTTCTCTATCCCAGCTGCCTTTTCACCCAGGATGTGAGGCTGGCTTCCAAGCCATGGAGCAATCCTCCTGACCCTTATCTTATTATGTATTCATCTTTCTTAAGTAAAAGGGGAAAAGCATGAAAATTCAAGAGACTAAAAATTCCTGAACAAACGATTTGAGGCTCTTCATGTTCCTGGAACAAGCAGATGCCATTGGGCTACCTTAGTATGCGACAGGGACAAATGGAGACATTACTGACTCCTGCTCGAGCAAATCAAAGATTAACAGGATGACAAGTGACAAAAAATCCTATTAACTTAATGAGAATACATATTAGAGGATATATGGGATAATGTTTGGACAAACATGTGTACGGATGAATTAATGGATGGAAAGATGAGTGAGACCAATAAATGAGCAAACTAATATTCAGTCCATACTCAAGAGCCAAAATCATGGAGAATTAAAAAGGGGCATCCTATGTCTCTGAAAGTCCCAAGAGAGACTTATCACCTGGGTGGTCTTACTAGTCTTTCTCAAAACAACTGGGACCAAAGCTGCAGGGTAAGCAGTGCTGACAGATAAATGACATGGTCTTCATGTGCAAGGGCTCTGCTGTCTGAAAAAAGATAAAAATCCACTTACATGTACTCCCTATGGGCAGAATGTACAGCGGCCGCATTGCTGTAACGCCACAGCACAATCGCCGATGACAGGACATCAAGGATGGCATCAAACTAGGAGAAGAAGACACAGCATTAGTGGCTTTCAGGGTGAATGGGGCAAGACGATGGAGACACAGGCAAACAGGCTGTGATTGGAACCTTGGGATGAGAGGTGTGGGGGCAAAGATGCAAACTCTTCACCACCATCTAAGCACATCTGGGGAATCTGGAGGCTGGGTGGTCCACATGCTGTCCCAGTGGCAGTGTCATGGCACATGCTGTCCCTCCATGTACCTCACACTGACAGAGAAACCAGTCTAGTATATGTGTGTGTATGGAGTTGACAGAGGGAAGGGTGGTTCTAGCCCCTTCTGGTTCCCATATCTCTGGAAATATGGAGGGGAATTACACAGTTCTGACATAAGGGAATTAGATGAATTAGATTCTTTATGGCAGGCAAGGCAATTTCAATATTTCCCCACATATCCCAAGCTAAAGATTTGGGATAAAGACTCTTGTGATTTGGCTCTCAACAGAACTCTTCTACCTGGGGTCTAGGTATGAAGGTGTGGTAATTAGGGACTGTGAGGGATCTGCAATTATTTGAAATTGTATATAAAACTCACGGTTCTGTTTGAGTATGTGTGAAAGGGAGAGGAGAAGCAGAAATCGGAAAGGAGGGAAGTGTTTGTCTGCTATGGTTAGTGTGTGTGGGGGGGGCGAGGGGTCGATGTGACATTCTTCTCTCGAGAAAAATTCTTTCAAGAGATTCTTTGTGAAGACTATCTACATTACCCCCCAGATATTCCACTTTCACAACCAAGGAAAGAAACAGACTTGGGAACTTGAACATATACTCTTGAGTTCAAGACATTTTTAAAGGCGCTCTCTGTGTTACTGCAATGACCAATTTCTAAACAAGCAGTCTGGGTGTGTGTGGGGGGGAGGACGGGGGGAGGGACTTTCTCCCTTCTCTCAATTTTTCCACATTCTCAGTATATAAAATTGCTGAGACCAATAATTCTCACATCACATCCCAAAAGGAAGCAGGTTAAGAACCCAAGTTACCCCTGGACTGCTCTCCCAACAACGCTAATGTTAACTTCCAGTACCACTATCTGAATCACCAAATGTTTCACTCCGATCATGTACGTATTTTGAACTTACAGCCTTAGGTGGGGAGAACCAAATAAATCCTTCAAACCCCCTCTCATCTGCTCGTAGAACATGTGATAGTTCTAGTCTGTTCTTGAGAATTAGTGTCCATGACATCTAGGAAACTGTCGTTTTTCGGTGTATGTCATTTCCATAAAAGGTGTCTGTCCTCCATGCTCTCACCTGCTAACCACCCTCTGAAGAGCGAGCCCAACAAGACACCCGGGCTCAGAATAAACGTGCACAACTTCATAAAGAAAGATTTTATGTTACTTACTGCAAACCCAAAAGCAGAGGCGCTGTACCTCATAACGGAGACGGCTAAAAAGAAAGAAAATATTATTCAGAATATTTTAAGACCTCAGATATTTTTCTCATAGGTATATACAGTCATCTCTTGATGAGTTTTTTTTTTAACAGCAATGGAAAGGTTCCAAGAGAATAACAATTTAAAAACTATTCTTGCAAAATTTGTGAATGAGAAAGTGGAAGAGACACAGGAGAGAGAATTCAAAGTCCACCCACACCTGGTTTCTGCCCATAATGTCCTGGAGCCTCCAAGAGGCTGCCTTTGAATAAATGTCAGTCAATAGACCACTGAGAATTTGGGGATTTTAGCAACTGGGAATGGAGAGCTAAAAACCCTATTAAAATTCTGAAATTGCAAGTACAATCATTCAAATTATCCCCATAATAAGGTAATTAATGCACACTACTATAAACTAGTTTTAAACAAGCTCTCGTCCAACAGAACTTCCAATGCACTGTTGACTTCAGTAAGGGCAGTGAGTAAGGAACATTCCTTGCACACAGCAGACCTGGGCTGAATCATGAGCACTCCATGTGCCCTCCTCCGCCAAGCATGCCTGGAACTATCCTTTAGCACAGAGCCAGGAAAAAGCCTTGAACACCATCAGATGTGCCCCCTAACCCAAAAATAAATAAATAAGACTGTTTAGAAAAATATAACATTGTTTTAGATAGCATGGCAGATGTTCTTAGGCTACAATTACAACATATTTTATAAAACAAAAAACTGTTGGGGGGCAGGCCAGTGGGGGGGGGCAATTTTGCCCACTTGAGATCTACTTTAGCACAGCGGGTAGGGCGTTCGCCTTACACGCGGCCAACATGGCCGACCCGAGTTCGATTCCTCCGCCCCTCTCGGAGAGCCCGGCAAGCTACCGAGAGTATCTCGCCTGCACGGCAGAGCCTGGCAAGCTCCCCGTGATGTATTCGATACGCCAGACACAGTAACAACAAAGTCTCCAATGGAGACGTTACTGGGCCTGCTCGAGCAAATCGACGATCAATGGGAGGGCCTTTATCTTATCTTTATCTAATGTCCAGATTCAAAAACTGCTCTCAATCTTATTAAATAAGGGCAACATCCAAACAAAAACCAACTTCAACAAATACATTTTAAAAATGTTTTTTATTAAGGATTTTTTTGTTTGTTTTTTTGAGCCCACCCAGCAGTTTTCAAGACTTACTTCTGGCTCTGTGCTCAGGGATCATTCCTGGGGGTTCAGGTGTCATAAAGGATACCAGAGATCAAACCAGGGTCAACTGCATGCAAAGTAAGCACCTTACCCACTGTCCTATCACTCTGGCCCCACAATGTCCTCCTTTCATTAAGCAATGAATCCTGTGGGTTGGAAAGGTTCTGAAGCAGACTACTCTGGGCACAGTGCTCATTGGTGGAATAAGCGGTGTAGTATTGGCCACAGATGTCTCAATGCCTATTTGGACTCCCACTCATGTCTCCAGGTGTCCCTTCTGTCTTCACCACAAGGTCTAGGAATGGGCCATGGGCAACCATATGTTGCTTCATGGCCTTGTCCCTGGCCTCAGGGGCATCTGGCCCTCAGTAAAGCAAGGGGGGAAAGGCCAGCAGCAGGGAAACACAGCAGAAAACCCGCTCCTTAAAGTACCTGTCCCTCTCTGACTTTCAATCAGTCAAGTTTTCATCTTCAGTTTGTCAGGGAGAGAAGATGCAATTCATTCAACTCCTGGCTTTTGTTTCTGACAAGCACAGTTCCAATTATCCCCACTCTTGCTCTATGGGCATGTGGAGGACAAAACCAGCTTCATGTATGTACTCCAATGGGCAACACATGGGGAGTCATGAAAGTACAATACTCCAACATGCCCATTGCAGTACATGTTGCCCAAATAACTCAACTCATAGCTAAGTTGGCAGGCGTGCAGAACAATGGCAGATTTTTGGCATGATTCCCCAAGATGCAAGGATGTCCTGGAAGGCACAGAGTCTGTTTCAAAGTAAGAGCTTATGCTCAATAATTCTAAGAAAGCTTACCAAAATTGCATATAAATCAGTCAAACAGGTATCATTTTCCCTTTAAAACCTGTTTTCAGAATATCACAACTGTATGCTTTTTGTGGTTTACTCCTTTATCAGTATTGGAAACCTTTTTCATGCAATTAACATCCTGTAAAGAGACTCAATATGTACAACAAGCAGAAAGCTGCAAGGCCAGTCTCTGCCTACCTTGCAGGCCTTAGGCTCACAGGAGGGAAGAATCAGAAAAACTCTCTGCTTCCCAAGCAGCAATCCACAACTTTAGATGAATTCTGATAGAGTTATCCAGACCTCTGTTCACTGTATTACAGTGACTGTCTTTGATTTTACTGAGAACCATGGGACTCATGCCTCGCAGACTGAAGATGGCCATGGAGCAGTGGAATTTGCTCTAAGTCAATGGGGGCCATGCCTATGATTTCAAACACTCTTAAAATTACAGAAAGTTCTGCTCAAGTAGATGTGTTAAGTCTGCCCAGTGGGTGAATAACTTCAAGCACAAGTGGAATGTTAATAGTGTTCTATGCCCCATGCATGAAAGAAATGGGTAGTAAGAGGAGTCCTAGTTAACTGAGTCCTTAACAAAGATGAGCATGCATCAAGTATTTATAAACTGGCTCTAACTAATTTCCCTGGTGAAATGGAAAGAAAAAAATGTCAGGAACTGTGAAGGGACTCCAGAGTGCACTAAGGCCCCTCCTTCAGCTATGTCTTGGGCAGCTTTCCAAGTGGACTGAATGACAGAGGGCAGCCATCGCTGAAAGGGTACAGTCCGAATTTAATTTTCTTTGGTTCATAACTGAAAAGATTTATCCTAATTCTGGGACAATGTACTTAGTGGAACAATTTGGATCCTTTGAAACGCCTCCCTGTTCCCATGGGAAAAGGGCAAACTGAGAGTGTGTGTTAGGGGAGGGAGGGTTCCTCAGGTCATTCCAATTTCCTCTCCCCCCACACCCCACCACCCTTCTAGGCATGGAGCCATCTAGGGGATAGAAGACCTAGTGCTAGATGACCTATCAAAGCTATGTGGACAAGGTGGCAACCCTAGAGCTTCATGTATGTATGACCAAGAGTAGCTGAAAGCGATCAACAAAAGTCCATGGGTGTCTTTAAGGCAAGTTCAACTGTTGACAGCAAACAAGGACCCTTTTTGATCTCAGACAGTTGTGCTGCAAATTGTCAAGGACAACAGAGAGTCAAGAAATGGGTCCCGTGAAGCAGAGCTCAACCAGGAATGCTGCTCTTCATCGAGGAAGGAAGGAAGTCACTGAGGCTTTCAGCCCAACGTGTCCCAACTCTTCCAAACATATGGGGGCCTGTGAGGGGAGTTCCTGACTCTCAGCAGTTTCCACATTCATCTGAAGAACTCTGCTACCCCAATTTCTTAGAAACATCTTCAGGAATGCTTCTATTCCTCACCTTTAGAACTTGTGTCCTTCACTTGTAACTGAACCCCATGAACTTGGCCAGGCTGTCTCATTCAAGGGCACTCTGGAGGGGGGCAGGTGAGTGAGGCCCTTCCCCACCTCAAGAGACCCAGCTTCAATGGCCAAAAACCTTCAGAACTCAACCACCTCCATGTTCAAAGCTGCTCGCCACATGCTCTGGCCGAGTGAACCTATTCCTGGACATCTCATACTTCATACCACTCATATTCCAAGAGTCACGCACCACATTTGATGGGGCTTAAAGGGTAGAAGACAACTAATCTTAGAGGGAAATATATATATATATATTTATATAAAACACACAAGGCTCAATCTTTAAGACATGTTAGTAATCTCTTATAGAAGGGCTTCATAGCCCCTGGGTAAAATATAACAATCTTCACACACTTTCTTCTAAGAAAAAATTTTGGAGCATTTTCAGCGATTTATTCATAGCAAACAATACAAAATAAATTATTTCAGTTCTGTTTTGGGGCAGGGATTCATGATGGAAACATTCAAAATAGTGGGAAGGTCTAATGGTGGTGGGATTGGTATTCAAATGTTAAATGCAATCAAATATTGGCAACTAGTTTATAAAAATAAAATAAAAAAATGAATGCTGTAGACTAATGTTTAGCTTGCTTTATTCTAGAAAGACAATATTGACAATAAGCAGATGCCATGTTGATGCCACCAGGTGGGAGGCCATGGGGCAAATCGGGTCTGAGTCTGGAATGGTCTCGTTATATATGGACACACAGAAGAGGGCGGTCAAAGAGACCCTACTGAGAAGGGCGATATTTGAGTCAAAACTCAAAGAAAGTAAAGGAGTAAGTCATGCAGTCTGCTGAAGGCACTTCCAGAAAACAGGAGAAGGGAACGTGAGGGCAAAGGCTCCGAACTAGGGCAACAAGCTACTGTGAAGCCATTTTGTCTGAAACAAAAGGGAGCAAGAGGAAAGTTCTATGAGATACCAAGCTTCCTTAATATCCAAGAAAAATTGAAGTAGGAAGAGGAGATATCTAAAATGACATATGTGCATAAATAGCTTCATAATATCATCATGATTTGATAGCACAGCAGGTAGGGCGTTTGCCTTGCAAGCAGCCGACCCGGGTTTGATTCCTCTGTCCTTCTCGGAGAGCCTGGCAAGCTACTGAGAGTATCCCGCCTGCATGACAGAGCCTGGCAAGCTCCCCATGGCATATTTGATAAGCCAAACACAGTAACAACAGGTCTCACAATGAAGACGTAACTGGTGCCCGCTCGAGTAAATTGATGAACAACAGGAGGACAGTGCTACAGTGCTACATGATTATTCATTTGCTTTTGTGGTCACACCAGATCGTGCTCATGGCTTACTCCTGGCTCTGTATAGGATTTATTCCTGGTGGTGCTCAGGAGACCATCTGGGGGGCCAGAGGATTGAACCAGGGTTCACCATATGGAAGGTAATTACCTTTCCCATTGTATTAAATCTCTAGGCCCCAAGCATGCTTTTTTAAAAAAAGTTCATTAAAAACAACTGAGTGTGGTCATTGGAGAGATTGCTTTCCTTTCTAGTT